TGGCTGTATGCGCCATGCACGGCCTCGCTGCGGAGACCCGCCTGGATATCACTCCATCGAATCGAGATTCATTTCCTATTTCAGGGTCAAAGTCCGCGACCTGTTGAGCTAGAACTTCTATCAGGCGAGCGCTGATCAATACTCGTGGATAGATTTGTTCGAGGCTGCCCTAAAAAGATTAAGTGGTCGTAAATACTGAGGGAAAAACGAGAAGCTGTTAAGCGGAGTCAGGGGCAAGGACGGAGGGCAGCAGGGCATGCTGCTTAAAGGGGCAGTAAATCTACAACAAAAAGTTAATTGGTGTGAAAGCACTATTAATAACATTACCCAATATGTGTATATTTCCTATATTTGAAAAGAAAATTCAATTTTTTTTGTAAGATTGCTGTGTAGCCAAGTGCCCTTTGTCAGCTGCCATTTTAGGCCAGTGCAGTTAAAGAATATGTAATCCCTCATCTTGTAAAACAATCCATTCAGTTTAAAATAGAAATGAAAGCCAAAACATTTGTGTATACATATGAAAAAAATTATAAATACATTTCTTCTCTTTTTATATAACTGACCACATACCCTCTATTGTCAGCTGCATAAGGAGCTCAAAGAGATGGGGGAGGAGAAACAGCAATACACCGACCATCCCAGTGAATGGCTGTGCAAGGGGGGGGGGGCATGTCAGCACAAGCCTGATCATTGGATTAGCTCGCAGCATAGCTAGAAAATGGACCACACTGTGCTCTGCTGCTTAGTGCAGTCAGTTTTTAATAGGAAAGCAAAGGAACTGGCAGGAACACCAGGGATTTCACAAAAAGGAAGCAATACAAAGAGAACAGGATACTTTTTTATACAAGTATATGATACAGCAGGCACATATCAGAAATATGAAATATTGGGTTTGCGTATATAAAAGTATTCTTTGTGACTACTGGATGGGAAGTCAGCTGTGTTTCGGAATATAATCCCCCCACACTATCCCACAACTTGGAAAATCTCTGTATCCTTATATTTTCCAATGGGAAGTGCTTGTGGTGGAAACCCCACAGGTATGCTCATCAATTGTGATGTAAAATCAAACAGAAATTGAGCTCAGTATTATTCCGTGAGCACATAACTTCTGAAAAAAAACTATTCAGGTTCAGAGTCAGTAGCAAGAGCATATTCAGGTTCCAAGATGGAGTCCGTATTGGACGAGCAAATTGAGCAGGCAGAAGCAAGGTCATGGTGCAAGCCAAGGTTGGCATAGGTGGACAGTATGAGCCAACCAGCACCACTACATAAATATTTGTAGAGAAGCACCATCTTCCATAATGTGTGACCTTCCTGGCAGTAGGACAGTGAAGAAGAGTCTTGATGCTGGGTGCAGCGCTTCATATGTGATGAACATATATGGCTGATCCCATGCACTTATATCATTCCAAACCAAACCATAGACATATCGCTTATAAAACATTAACATTATGATTTGGAGTGATTTAATTAGCGAGTTCATGTCAGTCTGAACTGCAGTTTAAGGGCTCTCTGGTCCACTTGCCTAAAAAGGAAAAGCAAACAAAAGAATACATTCAAAGTTGTCCTTGCAGGGGCTTTCTCCTGCAAACAGATAACTGAAAAATTCTGAACGACCTAGCTTTCTTGTTAGCAGCACCACCCCTATTGGTACCGAACCCTGAGGCCCAGTTCTCTGGCTCTCCTGACTCACTCAGCCTCTTTGTTGCAGTACTTCACTGCATGGGCCCACTCCTGGCCTCTACATAGGGTCCTCCTAGAACCCTGAGCTCTCTCACTTTTTTGAGATTTATAGAATCCCTTAAGTCCCCTGGACGTGCTATTTTCTTCAGCCCTCTGTCCTGTAGACTCAATCGGCTGTCCCAACTCTCCCAGTCCTTCAAGTAAGAAATCTCTTCCACATAGAGCTCTGTCTCCTTACATCCCTCCTGGTTGGAGAACGCGGCTCCTGAAAGGGCCCATAAAAAATACCCAGGCCTTGCTAATGTAGCACACTTGTCTTAAACACGGCTACTAGTAAATTTAGTTATGCTAGTTTGTAGGCAACCAGGTTAATTATAGTCTTTGATCATTTGGGTTTTCTCCTAAGCCTGGTGTAGCTGTGGTTCCTCCCTTCTGTCAGTAGGTGGCACTGTTACCTTTGGCACTAGTAAGAGATTGCAGTAAAGCTGGGTTATGAATATTCATATTTTTCTCAGCTAATCAGTAGGAGTTTCTTTGACGGCTGAGCATGCAGGGAGAAAGTATAAATATTTGGGGAGGTCAGGTGATTGTCATCTTCCCACCCAGATCTAGGTCTGGTTTGGATGAGTGAGGAACTGCTGATCTGGTAAGGCCTGAAGCCTAGGGCCTAGCAATGTGCTTGAGGCTCTGCTAGAGAGAGAGCCTGTTGTCACCTGAGAGCATGAAGGAAAGGATGGAGACCTGAGATGAAGTACCAGAGGTGACTCTGCCATAGGCCGGGGAACTGTGGAGAGCCTGGGAAATGCTCAAGATGGCCTCATCTAGACAATTCTTCCAAGTCCTTGTGAGTTTCCTTTTTGGTGCTTTGGGAGACAGCTGTCACTATTAAAGTGCAGATTCCTGATCACAGCTTACAGGCTTTTTTTACTGCTGTCTACCCCATTTGCTTTTGTCTAAGGAGTCTACTAGTCTGCTGTCATTTTGATTTGGGGGTGTCCTGTGCCCTAACCCTCTCTCCCTGAGTTTTCTATTGTTATGAGAAATAAAACAATTTTTTGTGCATTCTAAAAGCGACTGGCGTCCATTCTTCTACATTGTCCACCACCCACCATGCCTTGCAATCTGTACCCTGAGGTGAAATGTCAGCCCTCCCTTTCTCTGGGGGTAGCCACCATGCTCCCGTAAGTCAGGGGGTGCTACACTTATAAGGAGCATGCACACCTGCACACTCACACAACCTGCAGGTCTCCAATAAGACCTAGGCACAGGATTGGAGACTTTTCACCCAAATCTCTTCAAAGACTCTAAGCTCCAGACCCTAATCCAGGACTACTAAGGCCAAAGAACCCTGATTAGCCAGTCTTCTCCACTCTGGGGTATCACACTTTGCCTTAATGCCAGTCTTGTGTGTTTTCTGCTTATCTTCACACAGTGACAGGGCCTGGCACCATCACAATATGCATATATGAGATTACTTACTTGCACTTATTTGCAAGTAAGGAACCACCCCTGCCATGGCCATCCCAACCCCCACATCCCACCCCCCGTCCCCTACATGGTCTATTATGATGTAATACGGAAATGATGATTGGTTACACCTACAAGTGTTTTTCTTAATGTTACTCTTTCTTTATACTGGTGTGCAATCATTTAGGAATTTGAATTTAGGTTTAGTGTAGTAGAACACTTTTGGTAGAAAATTTGTATAAATGTCATTAGAACAAAAACAGGAGGAAAGAGGATAGAGGGATTAGTCTTTCCAAATGAGGGACAGTTGGGTGCTAAGTTCTAGATTGGGGGTCTCCAAACTTTTCAAATAAAGAGCTAGTTTACCCTCCTTCAGGCTTCAGAGGGGCCAGATTGTGGCCAGTGGGGGTAGAAAATGTCCTGGGCCCAGTGAGAATAAACATTGCCATAGGGTTGGTGGTCAGTTACGTCAGTGGAAGGATTAGTGCCCCATCATTGATATAAGTGGGAGAAATAGTGCCCTATCATTATTGCCAGTGGCAGGAATTGTGCCCCACTGTTGTTGTCAGTAGGATGAACACTGCCCCAAGGGCCAGATAAAAGCTAGCAAAGGGCTGTATTTGGTCCTTGGGCCACAATTTGGAGACCACTGCTCTAGACATTTACCCCTGCAGCCAACACTGTGGGAGGCTGGAGCAGCATTTTCTCCAGGAAGGGTATTTATATCAGCTCTTATGATATTCTATAATTATCCACCTTAGCGTTATCTTAGTATTAAAGTATAAGCATATGTCAAATCCATCCATCAGCAAGAAAAATCTTTTCTGACAGCTGTACACTAGCAACTTAGTTTGGTTATTGAGTGGATATGCCCTTTAAGTAGTTCATTTCCAAAAACGTTGCTGTTTTATAGAGGGCGTTTACAAACAAACAGCATTAGCAGCTGTTTACGTGAACATAGAAAGCAAACGCTGAAAGACAGCGTTACTGTGTGCTATAAACTCAGGGGATGGCCATCATGTTATAAGCTGGATCATTTCACGTACTTGCATAGAAAACTTGTGGCTCTTTGTATAATTAAAATCTGTTGCATCTTATTGCTGCCATTAACAGGGGGCTGTGACTCGGGGAGGAGGAGGGTGACTCGGAGCGTTTGAATATTTATATGATCAGCTTATTAAACAAATGACAACCGAGTGGAGGGTGCAAAATCGATCATAAATCTTTGTGCCTATAAGACGCTTTTTGGTGATCACAATAAATAAATATGCAGAACGACATGGAATCGTCTCACTTAGGATTCTCCTGACATGCATAAATTGCCATGTAAATAGCAAAACCAATTACTTGCTCCACCTAATGCAGCATATGGAGGGCAGACAGCAGGGTACGTACTGGGCAGAAATGGGCCGGTGTCCAGTAAGGCAGGGTAAAAGTACCGACGCACATTTCCGTCAAATTATTCATTATTTCAATTGTCTGGACATTAAAATTATACCTACCAAAAAAAAAATCAAACCGCAGTAGTAAAGCAGTGTCTCCGTTTGAAAGCCCGAAAGAAGAAGGATGGGGAGCATTAGCCCTGAGACTCCGCAACAGGCTCACTCACAATACTATGAGATCTTGATTTTTTTTTTTTTTTTTTAGAGCTCATTGGATTTTATTTGAAATGTGGATGAAATTCTGTTCTAGTAAATCAACTGAGCAAAGCACAAAGTTTGTGTACATGAGCAGCAAGAATGCAGATTGGAGGGTACGAAAGGAGAAAATGCTCTTCATCCATTATGACCATTTCAAAGAGCCTAGATATGGAGATGTGGGATAGATGGGCTCCATTGCTGGATTCTTCATTTTAGTGTGATGGACTTGAGCTGGAGGCTTATCAAGGACAAGTATGAAATCTCTTCTATGGGAAAGCGGACTTGAAATGAGAAAGGATCTCTGCAAGGCAATTGGATGGTGATCTTGTCTTGCTCAAACTTGAAGCAAGCCATGGTGTCTGACCCCTCATGGAAGGGAAAGAAGCTTTCCCTCTGCTCCGCTCCCCAGACACCATCCTCCAAAGAATTCAAGACTAACCTGTTCTTGTCTCCATCGACGTGGTCTAAACGAGGGTTAAAGTATAGCACAAAATTCTTGTTATCTTTTCCCAAGTTTATGGCAAACCCTTTACAGCCCTCTGGAATGAAGCCCTTCACCCCTATGGAGTGACCAGGCTTGAGGCTGAAGTTATATAAAACAATTCTATTATCTGCCATCCTGCTTCCTTCAGAGACACTTGTGTGTGAGATCTTGATTAAAGTCTACATGAATATTAAATCCCTAAAATGTCACAATATACAACAATTGCGTCATTTTTCAAAAGAGCTTGAGTTCTTGAGCTCAAGTCAGTGAATTTGCCTAGGCTAAGGTGATGCCATCAGTCTGTTGCAGGCAAGAGTAAGCATTTCCTCAGTCACCTCTCCCTCCATGACTACTCAGACTGTACAATGTAACCTAGTAACAAAAGTAACAAGGTAATGGCCTGCTGCAAGGGCTAGTCTGTCTCTTAAATCTATGAACACAACTAAGAATTTCAAACAAACAAGGATTTACATGGCTGTGTCATCTCTGAGTTGGCATTTCAGTCCAGGAAATAAATGTTAACCTTGGACTATGCCTAAGCAAAGATGGCTCCATCCTTTTGGAAAGAAAAGCAGATGAAGGCATTGTCAGGGGGAGTATTGTGGAAGTGAGGAAAAATTCTGCACTAGGATACAGTATGTGTTGGTTGTTTGTTTATTGCTGTCTGTAGCCTTATTGGGCAATTTTCCGATCACTTTTCATCCAGGTGACAGCACTAAAAATTAGTTATAGGTTCCAACCCTTTATCACACCATCCAAAACGAAATAATTGAGCTTTAAGATAATATTATTAAGTAAAATGCATTCTTATCTACTATAAAAAAAAGCACTTTCTTGGCAGGACAAAAATTAAACAGGGAAGCCATATTGAACACACAGCTTTTGCAAGGAGATTTGAAGTTTTATAATTGCAGTCTGTACAAGAAGGATGATGATTGAAGCAGTGTTTGCAGTAAGCCCTTTAAATTCTGTATAGACATATCTGTTTGGTGGAAGTATTAGCGGCAAACACTCTAGAGGATCCAAAGCTGCGCACCACAGAGCACATTCACATTGTGGCTGATATAATAATTCTTTCCCCAGATCCGCCTTCTGACAAGTAAATCTCATATTTGAAACATAGGATTATTTTTCCGTTTATTACTCCATGAAAGGATTATTGCATAAAGCCCAAAATCTACAAAGCAAACACAGAAAATAAAGTGAATTCCAAGGAAGATAATTTGTTTGCAGCACAGCTAAACCAGAGGATAACAAACATACAGGACAGGGACTTTTTCACATTTTTATTTTTTTTTGTAACAATACAAACTAATTAAAAAAAGAACTTTGCTGAATATGTAAATCGGCGTACATAACACAAAGCTAGTGCGATTTAAAAAAGACAACAACAAGACGCCTTAGGGATAGGGAAAAGGTGGGGAGTCCTTAAAACTGAGGTTCAACTTTAAAGTGAATGTTTGCCCAGACTATGTACACTAAAGAATTACATACTCTGAACAAGCAGTAAAGCACTTGAAAAGCAAGCCATCATTTACCTTTGTAGTTACAGTTGTGCTCAAAAGTTTGCATACCCTTGGAGAATTGGTAATATACAGTATGTACCATTTTTTAAAGAAAATATGTGAGCAGACAAAACACATTTCTTATGGGATTCATATTCAACTGTAGGTCGTACCAGACACAATCATAAAACAAAACATGGTAACAAGTAAACAAATTTAATGACCCCTGTTCAAAAGTCTGCATACCCTTAGATCTTAATACTGTGTATTGCCCCCTTTTAGCATCAATGACAGTGTGCAGTCTTTTGTAATAGTTGTCTATGAGGCCCCGAATTTTTACAGGTGGTATAGCCACAGACTCGTCTTGACAAGATGCCTTCAGGTCATGCAAAGTCTTTGGTTGTCTTGCATGAACTGCACATTTGAGATCTTGCCGGAGTGGCTCGATGATATTGAGGTCAGGTGACTATGATGGCCACTCCAGAACCTTCACCTTTTTCTGCTGTAACCACTGGAGGGTCAACTTGGCCTTGTATTAGGGTCATTGTTATGCATGTCCAAGAGTGTCCCTTGCTTCTACATGCTTATTTTTTTTAACAAACTCCAGTAGACACTATATATTAAATGAACTGTGCCACAGAAAGTATCAGTAAATAGAAAATGGCCGGTAGATTGCTGCAGCTGTCCCTGTTTTCACTTAGGCAAAAATACTGCTGGCAAATTTCTTTCAAACTCTTTCTAGGAATTAACAGACCTGAAATGTCAGAAGAAACTGCAACGTAAAACTGGCCAGAAACAGGACATATAGTTAATGAAGCAGAATTGGCCAAAATATAATAATAGAGACACAGAGTACAGGTAAGTAGTTTACTGCAAGAATTAAAGTGATTGTAAATGTAATTTAAAAAAAATTAAAACAAGTTACACTTATCTGTTAGTAGTCCAGGTTCCTCCCCCCCTGCCTTGTGCCCCCATAGCAAGCCTCTTTCTATGGGGTCACACAGCATGGCTCGGCCCGCTCCCTGCTCATTGGCTGTGATTGACAGCAGCAGGAGCCACTGGCTCCCCCTTTTGCCTCAATGTCCAGTGAGGAGAGAGAGAATGGGGGGAGCAGCTGCTCTCAGGCACAGCGTTGAATTGAGATCGAGCTCAGGTAAAAGTAAATTAAATTGGGGGTGGGGAGCTTCACACAGGTTTTTTTACCTGAAATGCAGAGATCACATTAGGGTAAAAAAAACCCTACCTTTACACCCCTTTAAAGTGTTACTAAACCCACAACAGAAACATTAGCCTGTATATACAGTAAAGCATGCTTGTTATACTTACTGTGGAACTAAGGGGTTAACCCTCTGCATTGTTGTAAAAAGGCCATTTGATCCTGTCTTCCCTGTTCCTCCCCTTTTTCAAGCGGACCACCTCTTATCTCCTGGTAAGACAGACTGAACCGTAGGCATTTTGCAAATGTCAGTTTGGTGAGTATTGCTAGAGAGAGTTTGTGCATGTCATCAGCACAGGGCCAATCAGCACTGTCCAGACAGGGTTTGCATCCTCCTAGAACAGAAAGAAAACTCCTCTTACAAGCTTTAGCTAGTGCTTGGCTGAACACTGATAGAAGTCACAAGACTGCTGTAACTGATGATGAGAAAAGGTATTTAGCAGTTTATATTTACTAAAAGAATTGCATTTCCATGTTCTGTGTACTGTGGGAGACCAGATATAGTGGATGTAAGTCCTGGGTTTAGTAACACTGTAAGATATTGCAGAGGATACAGCATTAAAAAAACTGGCCTTGAGCAGGACAGTTTCAATTAGGGATAATAGGATTACCTACTGTATGCCTAACTTTTATTTTATTTATGGGAATAGGAGAGTATAGTGAATGGGAATTTTATGATGCAAGGTGGCTTTGGTGCACACTGTTCTTGCACTTAGTTTTCTCCTTTGATTAAGTGGCATGCTGCAAACAAAAAGCATCCCTAAGAACAGATGGTCAGTAACAAGTGAGTGTTGTGCTTTGAGTACCCCAAATGTAAAGAAAGGCCCTATCAACAAAAAAAACTTAAAAAACCCCCCAAAAAAAAACAAGAAATGAAAACCTCAAAACACCAATCCTGGAAAAAAGCCCACAGGATGGGATAAACCCTTGGATGTAAAGTGAGGATCATGGAAAAGGACTGGTTGGGTTTCTGTTAAAGAGATTGTGTATTTAGATTTTGAAGGCAATTCATAGTGTTGGTTTGTGTAACAAATAATAGCGTTCGCTCTGACTATGCTATAATGTAGATCAGTATGTAACCATGTAAAAAATGTAACAAACTATAAAAACATAAAGTGCTTATACAATGTAACAAAGTGACAAATGCTCAAAATATGTAAAGTTTTTATATATATATATATATATATATATATATATATATCTTCAAAAAATACTCGAGTCTGTGGAGAGCGGCTGAAGATGGCTCTTTTTACATGTATGCAATAGATGCCTAGTGTTGGGTCTGACACTTTTTAATGAGAGTTTTCAGAGGAAGTTTACTATTTAACAATAAATATACAATTTAGCATGATAAAGGTTCCTATTGTTCTTCCTTCCTTTGTTGTGCATAACTATATGGGGTCCATATGAGTATCATTATTAAGTTGTGCGGCTGCATACACTACACGAGTATCCACAGAAATTCCATGTTTTCTTGCCAGTGTGCTGGTTTTTAAATGATGCCAGCAACATCATCTGGTGAGTCAGTTTGTAGCACATGGTGTTGGTGATCAGTTATTGGTGGTGGATTGGATCAGGAGTACAAAAGCAAGAATTTGGATTTTTTTCACAATTTTTTTCACAAAATGTTTTTCACAATTTTTTTGCACACTTTTTTATTTAGATTAGCACAAATTGACTGTTGAACGTTTCCTGAGATATTTATGGACTGATAATAATGAGTATATAAAAAAAAAACATGATTTGCGCAGCCCTGCCACCCTGTAGTACGGTTAAGGTGTTCTTTTATCATGCAGCAGTAAATGACTGCTGCTCAGTTCTCCAGCATTCTCAGAGGAGAGAGTTCTCTGAATGCCTTTTTATGAAGCGGTGTAGATCGCTTCTCCGAATGAAGAGAGAAGCAATCTACAAATGCTTTGAATGCTGGAAAACGGTTGCTTTTACTATAATCTCGCGAAATTACAGTAAGAGATTAGTCAAACACCGTTTACTAAACAGCGGTAAATTATCGCTGATTTGTGTGCGGTTCCCCTGATTCTCCACCTCTGGGTTGGAGAATCTGGAGGGAGAACACAGATCGCCAGTGAAGGGCTGACATTGCTCCTTCATACACTGGCCATCTGAGATGATCAGCGGAGAACATGTTCTCTGCTGGTCATCTCTGTTTCCTAAACCACTAATGATCTGAGATCAGCAACAATCCTTAAGGTCGCTGCTGATCTCTGTTTCATAAAAGGACACCTAAGTTGTTATGGTTTGTTGAATATTTTAAATGGTTACATACGGATCTACATTATAGCATAGTCAGAGCAAGTGCTGCTATTATTTGTTATACAGACAACTGCTGCACTGATTATACTTTCTGTGGCGCAGTTCATTTAATATATAGTGTTGGCGTCTGGTGAGCCATGGT